ACCGCTTCGCCAGCCAGCGCGACGAAGCGGGCGGACGAGGCGCGGCCGCGGCCCCGGTCGCGTGCAGCGACACCCATTCCGCCCACGCCCAGGTTGACGGCTACCACGGGCAGCACGCCGAGACGGAGCAAGCGGCTTAGCGGCGACGGCGGCGGGAGCAGCAAGGCGAAGACCAAGACCAAAGCAAAGACGACTGCCATCAACACGGTCGACGAGGCGATCGTGATCCAGGACAGCGAGGACGAGGAATGAGGGCCTGTCTGTCCGATGCGGCGTCCTTCCAGACCGCACCGCCACCGGCACCCGACGGCGCTGAGCATCGACACGCCCACGCACACACGCACGCACGCACACACGCACACGCACACGCACATCTACAGCATCCCCCTTTTCCTTTTCCTTGCCAACCCGCCCATTCCCACTCAGCACGTGTACTTGTATCTCCAGTCCAGTCCAGTCCAATCCTCCATCCCGCCTACGCAGGCACGTACGCACGCATGCGATCGACATTATACGCACACGCACCAGCACCGCACGCACGCACACGCACACGCACATGCACACGCACATGCACACGCAACGTTTCTGGCTTCCCCTGGCTCTTTTGCGCTGGGTGTGTCCTCGTTCTCGTCCTCTTCCTCGTCGTCGTCGTCGTCCTCGTCCTCTTCCTCGTCCTCGACCTCGTCTTCGTCGTCGACGATGACGGGACGATGGTTGGATGGAGTGGGCGGAGGAGTGTTGCTCGTCCTCGTTCCGGATTGCCCCTCTGGTGCTGCGCTTCCAACGAGGGGCGCTGCATGCTGACGCCCTCACTCCCTCTCTCTCTCTCTCTTTGCTTCCGAGTCCAATCAGACTTCCTCTCGCGGGAGATGCGAACAGATCCAGTTCATGGAATCGAGTCAGGAGAAGCACAAGGGGCAGAGGAGACCTTGAATTCGATCCCGACTATTCCTCCGAAGATGACCTGTCGATATCGGCGGGGATTGCCTCCAAAACGCACGTAGGGGCCGGGACGGACTAGGGATGACAAGGGCTAGGGTTCGTTGTCGACCACAAAGACTTTGACGACACCGCGTCCCTCTGCCCCCTTTCCGCGGGCAAGCGTCTCAAAGGCCTCGACGGACTGTTCGAGGGGAAACGAGTGCGAGACGAGGTTCTCGATCCCGCCCATCTTCCTCCCCACGCCGTGTCCCTCGGTCGCACCATCCACCGTGGACCCCGAAGCGTGTACACCCCCTCCCACGGCGCGCAGACCGCCACCGGCAAGCAGACCCAGCGCGACGGGGTAGGTGTTGGCGTATCGGAATACGCCGACGATGTCGACTTCGCGCAGCGCCGCCGCGCCAATGGGCAGCGTCTGGATCGGATTGCCCATCCCAATCAGAATCGTCTTGCCGCCCGCCCGCGTGGTAAAGATGCTCAGCGATACGCACGACGGCACGCCCGTGCACTCAAACGTCAGGTCGAAGCCGTCGGTGCTCAGGTCGAGCGGCGCAGCGTTGACCGCGTACCCGCCATCCTGACCGGCGGTGGCGGCCGTCGAGGACGGCGAAGAGAGTGTCTCGAGGAGCACGCTGGCGCCCGACTTGGCGGCTGCGACCGATGCGGCGTCCTCGGCCC